CGAGATTGTGTTATGTGTTTGTGCATATTGTAATAGTATGTCTGTGTACGGCAATGTAAACGTACATATATGTACACAGCAAAATAAGTCTTTAAGTATATGTATACGTATACGGCAAAGTAAGTTTATGCATGCATATTCGGAAGGACAAGTACAAGTATATGTATACGTATATGGATAAATGAAAAAAGGTATATTTATATGGCAAGGTCACGGCTCTGGCGGCACATATGAATGCAGTTACTTCCTAACCTGTAGTACACTGCGGCGGGAAACCATAGGTGTACGCAAACAGTGTTATGTAAAAGTATAAGTATTTACTTCCCTTGGGAGTTTATCGATTTGCTGACGAACTACCTACCATTGTTATTCTCAGAATGCTAAAAATAGTGACCGATTTCTATGGTTTGCATGCAGAGTACATATAACGCATATGCACGCACGCACGCACGCACGCACGCACCACACTCTCTCACACTCTCTCACACTCACTCACACTCACACTCACACTCTTACACAACACACACACACACACACACACAAACACACACACATGCCCATACACACACACACACATGCCATACACACACACACACATGCCCATACACACACAACACACATGCCCATACACACACACAACACACATACACGCCCCGTACACACACACACACAACGCCCGTACACACAGAACACACACCACACACACACACCACACACACACACACACACACACACACACACACACACACACACAACACAACACACACACACACACACCACACACACATACACACGCCACCACACACAACACACACACACATACACAACGCCCGTACACACACACACCACACACACACAACACACACACACACATCACACACACAAACACACACACACACACACACACACACACATATATATATATATATAATATATAATATATATATATATATATATATATATATATATATATATATGTCCATGCTCACAGGAGTATACCCTGATGTAGTGAGCAGTCCGTGTGTTTATACCCCTATGCCCAGGCTAAGCGGGTTCAACCCTGTTAAAGGGGCTTACCAGTGGCACCCCGGCTAAATTACCCCCCCCCCCTCCACAAAGATACGTTTAAGCCACACAGCTGTCTACCACACAATCGCAAGACAACACAAAACACAAACAGCACGACAGCACAAACAGCAGACGGGACCACCTGAACTTAGCTCTTCTCCCGTACTGAAACAACCATGCAAGAACAACAGCTAAGAACCACGGCCCTCATTCCCGGAGGCGAAGGAGCCCCTGGTTACAGCAGCGAGCAGCAGGATCACTCCAGAGCATAGGATACTAAAAAAAAATCTCCGGTTAAAGACAGACCGACCTACGTTGATGAACCCTTTGCACATATGGTATAAGGACCATGAGGACTGAATCCGACTTCCTAGCACTGCTTGAAGGACTAACTTTCACTGAATGGGGTATTGTGGGGCTCTGTGAAGTTAGAAGACAAGGCGAAGAACAGAAAATACTGAATGAGGGACATGTGCTCTATTGGAGAGGTAAACCCCAGGGGTGCAAACAGGAATCAGGGGTAGGTCTAGGGGATATAGACAACTTTAGTCTAAAACCCTACAACAAGAAAGAAGAAGGGGTAGGGCTCTTAGTTCACAAACGCTTTGAAAATAATATCGTGGAATTGTATAGTGTAGGCGAAAGAGTGGCTTCAATAACAATTAAACTAAACAATAAATACAACTTACAGATTGTTCAAGTCTATGCCCCAATCTGCAGCCAAAGTGATGAAGAAATTGAGAGCTTCTATGAAGATGTTCATTTAGCCAGCGACAGAGGGAAAACCCATGCCACAATAATTACGGGAGAATTTAATGCCAAGAAAGATAAAAAAGATAGAAGAAGAAATCGTACTTCGGAATCAAAGAAAAGGTACCAAGAATGAGATTTTGCAGAGGTTCGATCACTCTATATGAATATATTTTTCGCAAAGACGTGTGTGTGTGTGTGTGTGTGTGTGTGTGTGTGTGTGTGTGTGTGTGTGTGTGTGTGTGTGTGTGTGTGTGTGTGTGTGTGTGTGTGTGTGTGTGTGTGTGTGTGTGTGTGTGTGTGTGTGGTCAGTAGTCAGACCGCTCAGTCAACCCAATAAATGTATATCTATAAATAAAGGACAAGGTAGCATAAACCATTAGGAAAGACTTCATTTGATCAGTTAGATATCTTAATAAAATTTTACATTCAGAAATATATTAGATATTATATACTCCACATGAATATGAGTGAATGCAGACACCTCTATACAGGCATTCAAAAGGATTTTCCTAGGATACAAATGTGGACCCAATATGGTAATCCGTCATATGTGATCAATTCTCATGCCTCCAAGATGACACTGATTCACTGTAATGAACCCAAAATCAAAGACAATCTGCATGAGTAATGGTAAGTGTGCAGATGTAGCATTAGAAACATGTCTAATTTCCTTTACAGTGTTTGAGCACATTGAGGCAAGCACCTTCATTTCGTCTATCTCGTCTCAGAATCTTCTAATATTTCACTGAATCCTAGCTATGAAAACATCTGCAGTGCAATTAATGATGGATTTTATTTCACAAAAAAATAAAGGTTTCTGATACAGCAAGTTTGCCAGAATCTTTCTTGTATAAGGAAAATGAATGGTTAAATAAAGTGGGTATAAAAAGGATATTAATTACAGCTCTTGATTTTTATTTTATTAAGGACTGACTACATTCTCTGGCTTTAGACCAGATAATCAGTGACTTGCCACACAAAATACAATAATTTAAAGACAGCAGTTATTATGTGGCAAAACACTGTTTTTTTACTATTTTTTTCATCTTAATTGCTTAAAAAATAGGGATATTAAAAGCAAGAAATTCATTATCTTAAATTTGACATCCTTACTCACTGTACGATGTCAAAAGATTGTACCTTTCTCCATTTGTTTTTGTAAATACATATAATTTTAGCCTGATATTGCTGTTCAGGAGTCAAATGAAGAACTTGAAGATGTGGATGGAACCTAGATTGCCGACCTTATAGAACAGAGTAGTTATAAATACAAAGCAAAAAGTAGAAGGGATACGATGTTTATACCAAAAGTGAAAATGGATTTTGAAAAAGGGTATTGCGGATTTGCAAGATTTGTATTTTTAAATAATATCTAAACTTCTTTGATGTTTTGATATCAATAAGTTTAGAATGAAAATTCAGTTAGCAAATAACTAAATACACTTGGCTGAATAGTTACACCTGAAGAGTAATTCTTCACAAATCAACAATTATCAAAAACACTCATTCTTTTGAACATTTAAAGCACATTTCCACACATACAATATATAAATAAATGTACCTGTATGAAGGACCACCTGAACAAAGATACCATGTATAAATGCTAATCTTATTACACTGAAAATGCACTGATTTCTTAAGGGTCTCCTTTATCACCTACTACTAACCAAAAGGAGGCTATGTACATGTATGTAAATTAATACTGGACTTCTAATTAGTACTTTATGAAATTTGAACATGAACTTTTAAAAATGTTAGAGCATCCAAATACAAAACTATTTTTATGGTGACAACTTTTTTATTCAAATCTATTTCTTAGTTTTGTAGTGTGAATATAAAATAGCACAATATTGATATAATGGCACAGTAGATATTGTGCAATGTCATTCTGAAATAATTTAATTTCAATGTTTTCTGTATAAACTCCAAGAATAAACTAATTGATAATGCAATCTTCTCTTCTCCTATTTCTTTTTTCTCCCTCTCAGCTTGTATATCATTCCGCTAATGTAGTACTGACTTGTGTGCTTCAAAGTTGACATTAAAGCAAGAAATTTAAAGTAGAAACTAAATATCATTCATCTGACTCTGAAACAAATTAAATAGACAACCTACTAGAAAAAAAGGAAGAGAGAGAGAGAGAAAAGAAGATGCCACTAGACTTTGCGAAGATTAAAACTAACACTCAATTACAAGATCTGAAAAGCTGACCCCCCCACCCCTTTAAATTACTAATCCGCTCAGACATACACCCCTTCCAGAACACTAAGTCTCGATCTTGGCAGTGCCGTTAGTGGGAGGTGAGGATGGGGCGGCGTAAGGACAGCCCAAGAACTGATCTGCAATCCGTCCTGCCTCGCGAAGACCACTGAGCAAGGCCCCATGGACCGTGGCAGGATAGTTTCGGATGGTGTGCTCCCCTCCGAAGAACAGTCTGAAGCAAAGAAAAGAATGCATAATGCCTTTTTAATCAAATAAATATATATCAAGATAAGATATGTTGTCATCAATCCCGTTACGTTACAAGGAACCTAAGATAAAAAGGGTTAAGTTTATTGTTGTAGTGATGGCGAAGGAACTAGGTTGTTGATAATTAACAAAAACAGGGTAATTTTCTGGTTGTTTGTCTGTTTGTTTGTGTTTTCCTATTTCTGCAACTTACCTTTTTATCCATCTTACACAATCATGAAAACACCAATCTGTATTTAACCCAATTTATTTTCCTTTCTCTTTTTTCTTTCGTGCAATCTTTTTCAAAAAAAAAAAAAAGGAAAAAAAATCTTGCCCTAAACACAACTTTGCAATCTACACGACTGCATAATAAACTACACAAATGCATAACACAGTAAAATAAACTACTTAGCCACATAACCAACACACTAGAAAACAAACAGCAAGGCCACAAGGCCAGCAACATACAAAAAAACTATAGAGCCACATACCCATCAAGCTAGAGAGCCAACTACACCGCTACATAACCAAATAGCCAATGTACAAGAAAACAGACTACCCAGCCAACATAGAGAAAACAAGCTATACACCCCACCTACAAGAAAAACAGACAATACATTTAAACATTAAGAAAATAAGCTACACATCCAACACATAGGACAAGCAACACAACCACACAGTCAACACAAAACAACAAAACCACACCGTCAATACAGAGGAATACAAACTACACGCCCAATTCGTGAACAAACCAAGGTAATTTCACGAACAAGCTGCACCAACCAAACTCTACAACTCAACAGATCAAACAAATCTAAAAAAAAATAGAAGGCAAATTAAAGAGCCAAAGGCCCTATAGTTAAAAAAGAAAAAGAAAAAAAAAAAGCAAGTTTCAACAGACCCCCCTGACTGCTACCAATACTGAGACACACTCACATAACATGGTCTATATAAGTACAAAAAACATAAATAGATTAAGCAAATATTAATATATTTCTTAAACATACTATAAAACGAAATGAAGAAATATATAAAACTTAAGAAGAAAATTTCACACAAAGGAGCTGCTCCATACCTCGGAGGTGGAGAAGGTACATCAGTCGAGTTCTGTGAATTCTGTGGGTTCTGATTGGCCTGGTGCGGAGAGATGGGTGTGGCTAGGATGTCGTAGTCATTGCCAGATGCCCCCGTGGAGACAAAAGAGTACGAGCCCCTGGACCATGGATCCGCACGCCATCTAGTCACTACCGTTTCTTTAGGCTGTTGGAAGTAAAAGAGTGGGAGATGGCAGTGAATATAAATCAATCCATAAATATATGAGTAAATCAATAAATAATGGTCACTACACAAAGAAACTCACAAACATCCAAGTGAACCTCACATAATGTCAGGTTTAAATATCTAAAAACTGAAATGACTGGAAATAAAACCCTCTTTGTTATGGCCAGGACCAACTAGTGAGAAGCCAGACTAAGCTAATTTGTTAACACTACCATTAATCATACAATATAATTTTTTCTGACTCCATGGTGATTAAACAATTGTGGAGCCATCTATGTGTAGACAATCAATAAACAAAATGCACAGCGTGTGCATGGCATGTAGTTTTATCATCCCTGCATCAATGGGTTCAACATGAATGACTATACATAATGTACATGAATGATGAACAGAGTGACACAAAATAAATATATCAAATTAACAATACCAAAGGGTTAATCAAGAAACCCCATCCACTCCAGTATCCATTACCTGTGGTACAGAGGAGTTGCCAAAGATTCCCTTCAGCACAGCAATGCAACGGCCAACAATGACATCATCACTGACATTTTCCATAATTGCTGCGGCTTCTCCTGCTACCAGTGCTAGGAGTACTGGAGCACGGTACAAATACCAGAAGAGAAAGAGCTCACCTGTGACAAACAGAAAGAAAGCCATTACATTTAGAAGATGAATAAACAAATCATTAAAGACACAGACATGTACTTTTGTACAAATAAAATTACTGCATTAAAAAAATGCATTTCCAAACCCTTCCCAATACACTGAACCCAATACTATGTTCAAAGTCTTCTAAATTCAGCATCAATAAAACAAATGAAACAGGTCTCTTAAAAGTAAATAGGAAAAAAATATAAATAAGGAAAATTAAGTACCAAAAACTTTAAAAATACTTAGAAAAAGTCACAGCTTTGATATCTTTCTTAAAAATCATAAGAACATCTATATCCTCTAACCTCTGCTTGCTGTCGTGGATCCCACATGTCCAAAGAGATTTGCGTTTGGATCCCAGAACACCCGGTCGAAACACAAAACAACCTGGAATTAGTATAAAGTATGTTACCAATAAAGTGTAGATACAGTTCATAAAAATAATTAAAACAAAAACTTTATATGAAGATGGAGGAGGAAGATCGTCAAGGAGGACAAGGGAGAGGAATACGAAGAAGAAGACAGAGAGGACAAAGAAACGAAAGACAAAAGACGAACAATGCTTACCTTATTGAGATTTCCGAATCCTAGTCTCGAGATCGCATCAACCTTCCACTGAGGCAAAGGAGGGCTGAATGTGACAGTGTGAGGAGCATTCTGGTTGGCAATAACTGACTGCTTTAAAACACCCAGAGGTAGTGTGCACAGCACTGCATCAGCTGAAAAATGAAAGATGATTGGTTAAAGCTCAATATACCATTTTCTGAATAAGGAATGGTCACAGTTCAGCAACTATCTTTGCAACAATAGCCCAAGTTCACTGCATTTTTTTTCTTATTTCTTTCTGTCTGTTTTTTTTGCAGTGGGTAACGTGTCCGCTCTTGCAATAGAACTTAGTCAAAATTCAGCATACCATCTTAACAATCTTTTACATAACTAGATTTGTTTTAAAATCAATCACTAGCAACTAGTCACTATATACGCTATGGAAATATCATTGTCAAAAACTTTTGAGAAATCAATCACTTTTCCCTCATTTTATTTTTTTGAAAGTCTAGATAGCTAGATAGGGTACCTGGATGTGTCTGTGCATGTATGTGTGTATGTGTGTATGTATGTGTGTGTGGGCTTCAAAATCTAACTTCACATCTGTATTTGCAGGACCTGTCAGGCCTAAAATGTTTTTAAATTCTTGATTCATCTTTAACCCATTTCCGACGGCTTTCCCACATATGAGACACCTGGAAAAATAATCATTGCCAGATCACCTGCCAGTATGACGCAGCTATTGCAATTCTAATGAATTTAAACTTACTATCAAAAATAAAATAAATAAATGTTATAGACTTCTGAAAGTGCACACTACCATCTATGCATCAGATCCCCGGCCCTAATACCCGCACATTAAAACTTTCCATCTTACCTTTTCAGTACACAGTCATTCAACACAAAAGATCCTCATACCCCATTCCCGCATTAAAACATTCTGACTCACCTTTTAAAGTCGCTGGATTGGAATGGTTACGAGCATTAGATACTGTGACCTCGACCCCGGTGTTTGTGTATAATATTTTGCGCACTGCGGTGTTTAGCCGGATATCTAGGCCTTCACTGAGGGCTACTGGAACGCACGAGTATCCATTTCGAACTGGAAAAATATAGACAGCTTAATTAAAGGCTCTGACACACTTGATGGTCTAGGGAACTTCTCACTCATAATTAAAACTGTGTGCATAAATTATATCAAGAGACAAAAAGAAAAAAGTCTGTCTCGTCTTTATAGTTACAGAAATGTGTATAAACAGTATCAGTCAATACACAATCTAAAACTAAGGGCCACTACAACATTAAAAAGCAACAAACCTGTGAGGTGGCTGCCTGAGAACTCAAAGTCATCGTCCTGATCCCAGTGCTTGAGGGAGAGGTTGTGCAAGGGAGTGGCATTGGCAAATTCGAGATTAGCAAAGTGCCAGTCCAAGATCTGTCTGTCACGGGATGAGAGATAGACGTCGCTTGGCGACGATGCCTCCAGTTCTTGCAGTTTGTCCTCTATCTCTCTTTGTTGTTCGACCAGTTGGTCCCACTCCTGCATTTGGAAGATGGCATTTTTAACATATGAGGATGTAATTTATCCATTCTTTTATATATATATATATTTTTTTTTTTTGGGGGGGGCTTTATTTATTTTTCAAAAATATATGATTCTTTCCCCTGATCTACTTTTCTTACATCCTTTATAAGACTAGAATAGAAAGCAAGCACTGAAAATATCAATGACAAAGTAAGTGAACTCACTTTTGAGTTAAAAAAAAGAAAGAAAAAAAAAGTGAGAACTATTACTGTTCATCATATAAAAATAAAAACACATATACATACATATATATACACACATGCATGGGTGAGTGAGTGTGAATAACAAGATACTTAATAGGAGCATAAATTCAACTCATAGTTACCTTGCAAGCATTCTGCAATTCCCGCAACTTAACACGGTAAACAAATTCATTTGTGATATTTCGGGAATTTCTCTTTTCGCTCAGCTGTTCATGCTCTTTGTGAAGGGTTTCAATCTTTCCATGAAGTGTGTGCATCTAAAACAAATATCAGAACATTAGAATAACTTAAACATTATATATATATATCAGTTTTTACTGAAGCATACTTTACTGTTTAACTCTTCAGTGACAGGTACAGCTACTGTCATCATGACATAATGGCCTATGACATTTATATGCGTCATAACTCAAAACGGGTGGGATGGCTGTATAGCTTAGGACTAGCCATAGAGTCTGGACTATTGCATAATATTGCATTACAAAAAATTTAGGCTTCGTCATGACAGGGTTAAATTATACTCTAAAATATAAGTAAAAATTTATGACTTTTTCAGAATAAAGCAAGCTAAGACCTCTACTCACCTTATTTAAGACAGTCTTGAGTTTCTCTTGCAATTTGACAACTGTTTTCCAATGATTAACCTGTTTTTCTTTAACATTCTTTTCTTGCAAGCTAGTTAAGAAATAGTAAAAGAAAATATATTACTAAAATAAAATTATGGAATTTTCCAAAAGGGTTATATCAACATAATGGCACACACAGTTTTATCCATTACTCCATATAGAACGGAATGCAAATGAAGAATTTCATCTGCATCAAACAAACTATAAAGCAAGGAGTACATTTTCATATGTATTATTTTTCTTTAAGCAAATTTACAAAGACTAGCCACTTCTTTTCAACTTACTTGATAACCCACTCCAGTGCCTCTCCAAGACTAATAGGACGGTTGTCAACATAATTGAAATCGAGCTGATGAGACAAAAAGCTGGTTGCTTCAAGAAGACGATTAAATTCCCTTTCAACCATCTCATCTTTATCCTTTAGCACCTGGAATGAAGAGAAAAGATGGCTATGAATTTGGGAAGAAGTTTATCATAAAATAAAATGGCACAATACTCTTTCATTTTAATACGTACATTATAAGAAACATTCAAGACACAAACGTCGCAAATAAATCCACCTCCTATATCACCCTAGACCTGGACTTTAACTTACTCACACTTGATCCCACCCAAAGAGAGTAGAACTCAAGCATTGGACCTCCGGAGAGGAGTGTCAACCAAACTAAAAGGTACAACAAACAATAACTCACCGTATTCCCATTGGACTCATACAGAGGGCACTTCTGTTTGATACAGATGAGTTCCATGTTGATCTGCTTGGAGAGGACATTCAGGGGATTGCCTCCCAGGCCTGTCACCACCATCGCTCCGAGGTCGGCGATGTAGGCCCCCTTCCGGAAGGTTGCTATCCTACCCCCAACCCGGTCCTGTCAAATTGGAAAATTTTGCAGGTATGATTTTCCTAGTTAAAAGTTGGGAGGGAGGAGGGAGGGAGAGGGAGAGAGGAAAAGGGAGAGAGAGGGAGGGTGGGAGAGAGGGAGAGAGGGAGAGAAAGAGAGAGGGAGAGAGGGAGAGAGGGGGAGAGGGAGAGAGGGAAAGGGAGAGAGAGGGGGGGTGGGAGAGAGGGAGGGAAAGAGAGAGGGAGAGAGGAAAAGGGAGAGAGAGGGAGGGGGGGAGAGGGGGAGAGAGAGAAAAAGAGAGAGAAAAAGAGAGAGAAAAAGAGAGAGAAAAAGAGAGAGAGAAAAGGAGAGAGAGAAAAAGAGAGAGAAAAAGAGAGAGAAAAAGAGAGAGAAAAAGAGAGAGAGAGAGAAAAAGAGAGAGAGAGAGAGAAAGGGAGAGAGAGAGAGAGAGAGTGAGAGAGGGAGAGAGAGGGGGGGTGGGAGAGAGGGAGAGAGGGGGAGGGAGAGAGGAAAGGGGAGAGAGAGGGAGGGAGAGGGAGAGAGGAAAAGGGAGAGAGAGGGAGGGAGAGGGAGAGAGGGGGAGGGAGAGAGGAAAGGGGAGAGAGAGGGAGGGAGAGGGAGAGAGAGAGAAAGGGAGAGAGTGGGAGGGTGGGGGAGAGGGAGAGAGGGGGAGGGAGAGAGGAAAGGGGAGAGAGAGGGAGGGTGGGAGAGAGGGAGGGAAAGAGAGAGGGAGAGAGGAAAAGGGAGAGAGAGGGAGGGAGGGAGGGAGGGTGGGAGAGAGAGAGAGAAAGGGAGAGAGAGAGAAAGAGAGAGAGAAAAAGAGAGAGAAAAAGAGAGAGAGAGAAAGAGAGAGAGAGAGAGACAGAGAGAGAGAGAGAGAGAGAGAGAGAAAAAACAAGGAACCCAACATAAAAGCGGATTCTAAACAACTTGACAACCTACCCTTGCCTCCAACACAATGACTTCAAATCCAAAAGAATTAAGTTGTTGCGCAGCTGCTAGGCCCGCAATGCCGGCACCAATGACAATAATGCTCCCGTACTTCTTCTGCGGCAATGGCTGGAAGAGGGAGGAAAAATCTGGTAAATCTTTCAAGTCCATATAAAGATTATCATTTAGTTATATGGCATTTGAAGATGAAGATGAAGATGAAGACGAAGATGAAGATGATGATGATGAAGATGAAGATGAAGATAGATGAAGATAGATGAAGATGAAGATGAAGATGAAGATGAAGATGAAGATGAAGATGAAGATGAAGATGAAGATGAAGATGAAGATGAAGATGAAGATGAAGATAAAGATGAAGATGAAGATGAAGATGAAGATGAAGATAATGAAGATGAAGATGAAGATGAAGATGAAGATGAAGATGAAGATGATGAAGATGAAGATGAAGATGAAGATGAAGATGAAGATGAAGATGAAGATGAAGATGAAGATGAAGAAGATGAAGATGAAGATGAAGATAAGAATAAAAATAAAGATAAAGATAAAGATAAAGATAAAGGTGAAGATGAAGATGATGACAGTGGTGAAAATGATAACGATGACCAAAACACTAACAAACCTTTAAAAGCACAAACCTTCACGCGCTTAAAGATGCCAAAGTTGATGTACCCGTGGCGTTCAAGGTAGGCATGAATGCGAGCACACAGCACGCTCTCGGAGTTGAAAGGTTGTTCGAGGTTTGCCATGACGCCTTCATAGGTCAGTTCTTGCAGAGGATTTTCAAGCCACATTTGCAACTTGTTTAAGAAAGGTGTCGTTTCTAATTAGTTGCAACGAAAAGTATTATAGCAAGGGCTATATTCAAATGTATATTTCCTTTATCATTATTCATGAGGCAATAATGATATCCTATTATAAACACTTACATGGTTCTTTTCTCTGACAAAAACATACGAATACGAGTCCAATTTCCTTTCCATCAAAAAGTTATTCAAAAACATATACGTTCTCAAACACACAAACAAGAATAAAATAACTAACTTGCAAATACACAGCTATCAAACAAAAAACAGAAATAAATCAACCCAACAGACAGACACATAAAAATGACCGACAAACCAACGACTCGGCAATCCCAGGCCCTAAACGTCCGGATACCCCGAACACTCACGATTCTGTTCCTGATGTGGAGGAAGAGCCGGTGGGTGGGAGGGGGGCTCTTCACGATGTCGGAGAAGAGCGATCCCTCCAGGGTGGTGAGCTTGTCCGAGGGCATGCGACTCTGGAACGAGGCTCCTTCCAAGCCAACTGGATGAATTATACAAATCATGATATGCATTTTTGCTTTTTTCTCTAAGCTTATTCTCTTCTTCCTGCGTTTGTGTATGGTAGTACCAATTTTTGTGGATGTGGGGTGTATGTGGGTGTGGGCGTGGGTGGGTGTAAGTGCAGTGGTTATAAGGGTGAGGGTGTGGGTGTGAGTAGGGTGTGTGTGTGTGTGTGTGTGTATGTGTGTGTGTGTGTGTGTGTGTGTGTGTGTGTG